TATTAACAAAAAATATTTTAGAAATCCACGTTTAGTAATTTTAATTTTTTCTTTTATTAACGTCTGGTAATTTAAAAAAATATTTTTTTTATCCAGGTCTGATAATTTAAATTTTTTTTATTTATTTTTTATAAAATCCACGTCTATTGCTATTTTGAAAAAATATTTTTTATAAAATCCACATCTATTGCTATTTTGAAAATATATTTAAAAAAAAACCAAGTCAGTTAAAAGGTAAAAAAATATTTTTTATAAATACCCACGTCAGTTGAAACTTTGAAAAAATATTTTTTAAAAAATCCACATTTCTGTTAAAACTGTGAAAAAATATTTTTTAAAAAATTCACATTTCTGTTAAAACTTTAAAAAATATTTTTTAAAAAATCCACGTCTGTTAAAACTGTGAAAAAATATTTTTTTTAAGAAATCCACGTCTGTTGAGACTTTGAAAAAATATGTTTTGTATTTTTTAAAAAATCTACGTCCTATAATATTTCAAAAAAATATTTTCTAAAATATCCACGTCTGATAATATTTTGAAAAACTATTTTTTAAAAAAATCCACGTTTAATAATATTTTGAAAAACTATTTTTTAAAAAAATCCACGTTTAATAATATTTAGAATATATATTTTTTATAAAATCCACGTCTGTTAAAATTTTAAAATAAAATATTTTTTAAAAAATCCACGTCTGGTAAAATTTTAAAATAAAATATTTTTTAAAAAATCCACGTCTGGTAAAATTTTAAAATAAAATATTTTTTAAAAAATCCACGTCTGGTAAAATTTAAAAATAAAATATTTTTTTAAAAAATCCACGTCTATTAAGACATTGAAAATTTGTTTTTAAAGAATTCACGTCTGTTAAGACATTGAAAATTTTTTTTTAAGAATTCACGACTGTTAAATTTTTGAAAAAATATTTTTTTAAAAAATCCACGTCTGTTAGAACTTTGAAAAAATATTTTTTTCTAAAAATCCACGTCTGTAAAACTTTGAAAAAAAATATTTTTTTAAAAAAATCCACGTCTGTTAAAACTTCGAAATTTTTTTTTTTTAAATCCACGTCTGTTAAGACTTTGAAAAAAAAATTATTTAAAGAATTCACGTCTGTTAATACTATGAAAAAAAATTTAAAGAATTCACGTCTGTTAAAACTTTTAAAAAATATTTTTAAAAAAAATCCACTATTATTAAAACTTTGGAAAAATACTTTTTAAAAAATCCACGTCTGTTAAATCTTAAAAAAAAATATTTTTTAAAAAATCCACGTCTGTTAAAACTTTGAAAAAATATTTTTAAAAAAAATCCACGTCTGGAAATATTAAAAAAAAAAAGTTCTTAAAAATCCACGTCATGTAATATTTTGAAAAAATATTTTTTAAAAAATCTTCTTCATGTAATATTTTGAAAAAAATATTTTTTTATAAAAAATCCCCGTCTGTAATATTTAAAAAAATATATATATTTAAAAAAAAAACACGTCTATAATATTTTGAAAAAATATTTTTAAAAAATCCACGTCTATAATATTTAAAAAATATATATTTAAAAAAAATCCACGACTATAATATTTTGAAAAAAAAATATTTTTAAAAAAATCCACGTCTGTTAAAACTTTGAAAAAATATTTTTTTAAAAAATCCGCGTCTGTTAAAACTTTGAAAAAATATTTTTTAAAAAATCCACGTCTGTTAAAACTTTGAAATAATATTTAAAAAAAATCCACGTCTGTAATATTTTGAAATAATATTTATAAAAAAATCCAAGTCTGTAATATTTTGAAAAAATATTTTTAAGAAAATCCACGTCTGTAAGTTTTGAAAAAATATTTAAAAAAAAATCAAGTCTATAATCCTTTGAAAAAATATTTTTTACAAAATCAACATCTGGTAATATTATAAAAAAATATTTTTTGAAAAATCTACGTCTTGTTATATTAAAAAAATATTTAAAAAAATTGAAAAAATATCATTAATTTCCAACAACAAATTATTTTCACACGATATTTGAATAAATATTTCAACAACACAATCAGGTGATACTGATGCAGTTATTTGTTTACATAAGTTCCTCCTTTCCCCCAATTTTTTTTTTTTTTCGCAACATAATTTGTAATGCAATGACGTCACAATGCTAGCCAAGAAATATTTTCAACCAATATTCATAGATGCAAATATTTTGAATATAATTTTCGATTGTCAAATTGATCGAATAACAATGAAACGGTATTTGTAACAAAACAAAATTTCGGGGCTGCAAAGGCATAGCCATCGAGATTTGGATTATTTGCAGAGAAAGCATCTTCCGATGCGGAAGTGAAAAAAAAAACTTTAAATCGTTCGCGAATCTAAACAATCGAGTGCCATGCATTGGAGTTTTTTGTTAACTCTACTGGGGATATTGAGTTTTGGACGGTGTGATAGACAAATCTGGTCGCAAATTTTGAATTTGGGCATCGGAAATGTGGTGAAACAGAATCTTTACAATGATGGTGGGTATTGAAGACCTTTAAAAATATTTTTTAAAAATCCACATTTGTGGAAGGACCTTTAAAAAATATTTTTAAAAAAATCCACGTTTGTGGAAGGACCTTTAAAAAATATTTTTAAAAAATCTACGTTTGTGGAAGGATTTTTAAGAAAATATTTTTAAGAAATCCACGTTTGTGGAAGGATCGTTTAAAAATATTTTTAAAAAATCCACGTTTTTTGGAAGGACCTTTAAAAAATATTTTTCAAAAAAATCCACGTTTGTCAAAGGGTCATTAAAAAATATTTTTAAAAAATCCACGTTTGTGGAAAGACCTTTAAAAAATATTTTTAAAAAGTCCACGTTTGTGGAAGGACTTTAAAAAAATATTTTTAAAAAATCCACGTTTGTAGAAGGACTTTTAAAAAATATTTTTAAAAAGTCCACGTTTGTGGAAGGACTTTTAAAAAATATTTTTAAAAAACCCACGTTTGTGGAAGGACCTTTAAAAAATATTTTTAAAAAATCCACGTTTGTGGAAGGACCTTTAAAAAATATTTTTTAAAAAGTCCACGTTTGTGGAAGGACTTTTAAAAAATATTTTTAAAAAACCCACGTTTGTGGAAGGACCTTTAAAAAATATTTTTAAAAAATCCACGTTTGTGGAAGGACTTTTAAAAAATATTTTTTAAAAACCCACGTTTGTGGAAGGACCTTTAAAAATATTTTTAAAAAATTCTGAAGATTTTTTTTTTAATTTTTTATTTTTTCCTTAGCCCCCCATCACAACGCCGTCTACGACTTCATTGTGGTTGGCTCTGGGCCAGCTGGCTGTGTCTTGGCCAATCGTTTGTCTGAGAATCCCCGATGGCAGGTCTACCTAATCGAAGCGGGTGGTGTTGAAACTATAGCTCATCAAATTCCAATAGCTGCCCCTTTGCTACAGGCAACCCATTCCAATTGGGGCTACAAGTCGGTGCCTCAGCGAGCCGCCTGTTTTGGCATGAACAACCAGGAATGTGCCCTGCCGAGGGGTAAAATATTGGGTGGTACCAGTTCAATAAATTTCATGATCTACAATCGTGGAAATCGTCGAGATTTCGACAGATGGGCGGAGTTTGGCAACCCTGGATGGTCATATCAGGATGTCCTGCCATACTTTAAAAAATCCGAAAATTGTTATGTAAACGGTTTGGAGCGTTCACCCTATCACAATCGTACCGGACCCTTAAATGTGGAAGATGTACGCTATCGCACCGAGGCTGTCCATGCCTATCTCAAGGCAGCCCAGCAGGCAGGCCACAGGAGGACAGATTATAATGGTGAGTCTCAAATGGGGGTATCCTATGTCCAGGCAAATACCCTGAATGGCAGACGCCAGAGTGCCTTTCGGGCCTATATAGAACCCATCCGACACACAAGAAAAAATCTGCACATTGTTACCATGGCCAGGGTGACCAAGGTCCTGATCGATAAACAGACCAAACAGGCCTATGGGGTAAGGCTGCTCTATCGCAATACCCTGTACACCATCAAGGCCAGACAGGAGGTAATACTCTCGGCAGGGGCCTTCAATTCGCCACAACTGCTCATGTTATCCGGCATTGGGCCAGAGGATAATCTAAAAGGCATTCGAGTACCAATTATCAAGGCACTGCCGGTGGGTAAGCTGCTCTATGACCACATGAGCCATTTTGGTCCCACCTTTACCACCAATTCAACGGGCAATACTTTATCCCTTGCCAAAATCGGGGCCCAGGATCTGAAGTCCTTTGCCAGTGGCAACCCTTCGACATTTTTATCCTCGATTGGGGGTGTGGAAGCCCTTACCTTTGCCAAGACCCCACACTCCAAGGAACCCCACGATATGCCAGATGTGGAATTTATTACCGTGGCTGGCAGCCTGGCCTCGGATGAGGGCACAGGCCTAACAGAGGGTGCCAATTTCAGGCGGGAAATTTACAACAAGGTCTATAAGCCTCTCAATGATGCCCAAACGGATCATTTCAGTTTTCTGGTAATGCAGTTCCACCCCAAGTCCGTGGGACGGCTATGGCTACACAATCGCAATCCCCTCGAATGGCCGAGAATCAATCCAAAATTTTTCCACAATTCCGATGATGTGGAAGATATTCTGGCGGGCATTAAGGAAGTCATACGCATTAGCAAAATGCCAGCCATGCAGAAATTGGGTGTCCGCCTGCATGACATACCAGTGCCGGGCTGTGAGGGCCACCGCTTTGACAGCGATGACTATTGGCGTTGTTCCATTCGAGTCATGTCGTATACATTGCATCATCAGGTGGCCACTTGTCGAATGGGACCGGCAGCGGACAATAGCACTGTAGTCAATGCCCGGCTACAAGTCCACGGCATTGGAAGGCTACGGGTGGCTGATACCAGTATTATACCCTTTCCACCCACCTGCCACACAAATGCCGCCTCATTTATGATTGGTGAGAAGGCGGCGGATATGATAAAGGATTATTGGCTGAATAGGAGATACGCCATATAAATTTGTTTTCGTCTTGAATTAATTTAAAAAAATAGAATAAGTATTTATTTAATTTATTATTAATAAATAATAATTATTTAAAATATATAAAAATAATTAATTACAACAAAAAAGCTATACAAGAAAATATTTTTTTATAGAAAAAATTCTACGGTCCCCTGGGACCATGTTTTTTCTATAGAAAAAATTCTACGGTGCCTTGGGACCAAGTTTTTTCTATAGAAAAAATTCTACGGTCCCCTGGGACCAAGTTTTTTCTATAGAAAAAATTCTACGGTCCCCTGGGACCAAGTTTTTTCTATAGAAAAAATTCTACGGTCCCCTGGGACCAAGTTTTTTCTATAGAAAAAATTCTACGGTCCCCTGGGACCAAGTTTTTTCTATAGAAAAAAATTTCGTCGGTCCCCTGGGACCATGTTTTTTCTATAGAAAAAATTTCGTCGGTCCCCTGGGACCATGTTTTTTCTATAGAAAAAATTTCGTCGGTCCCCTGGGACCATGTTTTTTCTATAGAAAAAATTTCGTCGGTCCCCTGGGACCATGTTTTTTCTATAGAAAAAATTTCGTCGGTCCCCTGGGACCATGTTTTTTCTATAGAAAAAATTTCGTCGGTCCCCTGGGACCATGTTTTTTCTATAGAAAAAATTTCGTCGGTCCCCTGGGACCATGTTTTTTCTATAGAAAAAATTTCGTCGGTCCCCTGGGACCATGTTTTTTCTATAGAAAAAATTTCGTCGGTCCCCTGGGACCATGTTTTTTCTATAGAAAAAATTTCGTCGGTCCCCTGGGACCATGTTTTTTCTATAGAAAAAATTTCGTCGGTCCCCTGGGACCATGTTTTTTCTATAGAAAAAATTTCGTCGGTCCCCTGGGACCATGTTTTTTCTATAGAAAAAATTTCGTCGGTCCCCTGGGACCATGTTTTTTCTATAGAAAAAATTTCGTCGGTCCCCTGGGACCATGTTTTTTCTATAGAAAAAATTTCGTCGGTCCCCTGGGACCATGTTTTTTCTATAGAAAAAATTTCGTCGGTCCCCTGGGACCATGTTTTTTCTATAGAAAAAATTTCGCCGGTCCCCTGGGACCATGTTTTTTCTATAGAAAAAATTTCGCCGGTCCCCTGGGACCATGTTTTTTCTATAGAAAAAATTTCGCCGGTCCCCTGGGACCATGTTTTTTCTATAGAAAAAATTTCGCCGGTCCCCTGGGACCATGTTTTTTTCTATAGAAAAAATTTCGCCGGTCCCCTGGGACCATGTTTTTTCTATAGAAAAAATTTCGCCGGTCCCCTGGGACCATGTTTTTTCTATAGAAAAAATTTCGCCGGTCCCCTGGGACCATGTTTTTTCTATAGAAAAAATTCCGTGGTCCCCTGGGACCATATTTTTTCTATAGAAAAAATTTCGCTGGTCCCCTAAGACCTTATTTTTTCTAACGAAAAAATTCCGTGGTCCCCTAGGACCTGATTTTTTCTATAGAAAAAATTTTGGTGGTACCCAAGGACCTTATTTTTTCTAAAGAAAAAATTCTGATAAAAATTTTTGAGTTTTTTTTTTTTTTGCTAAAATCTCGATTTTTGATCTCTGCAATAATTTTCGGTCTAGACATAATTTCAAGAAAACGTAATCTTTATTGGCCTAATTGGCAATTACCTATGTCTGCCTGACCTATGAGGTAATGCGTGTTTGGGGGTTTATGGGCCAGCTATCAATCCGCACATTTCACTTGTCGTGGTCACTGAACTCTATGACGACGCATGGTATGGCAAACAATCATTTCATTCAGTTCTTCATTATTTTCTTCTTTATGTTAATTAGTTGAGAGAATTCAGATTTTTTTAGAGATGAGTTTGGAGTATCAAAACAAAAATTTATTCAATTCATCTCAAAAATTTCAAAATATTTTTTTTTTAATTTTTTTGTTGTTTTTTTTTTTTTTTTGTTTTTTTTTTTTTGTTTTTTTTTTCTTCCGAATAAAGAAATGTGATAAAGCAAAAATAGGGGGAAATGTAGGGAATTTTTAAATTTCAGGAAAATCGATTTCAATATTGTGAGAAAAAACATTTGATCCCCCATTCCCATCTCTGCAAAATATTTCATATTTTTTGGGTTCTATTTTTAGGTCACATTTCTTTCTTCGCCAAATTTTTGCTTCTTCCCAAGTTAGCTATTCTTTCTTGTTGTTGTTGTTTTTATTATTGTTCTATTCAAACACCTTTATTGTCAAAACAAAAGCTTCAATTGATTTTTTTTTTTCTCAATTTTATTTAATTATTTCCCTCAGGTTTACTCGCTGTCTCTTTAAGGGTCTACGCGACATGATTGACTGTCTGCCAGCCTAGAGGCAGATAACTCACATATCATCATGTGCTTGCCGGTATTTTTTTCTTGGTGTTGTTTTTTTTACATCAAATTTTGAAAATTTATTCACAATAGTTTGTTATTGTTTTTTTTTTTTTTTTTTTTTTTTTTTTTTTTCGCTGCCCTGCTTCTGGTCATAAAAAATATGCTACAGCACAAAAAAGAGGCGTTAAATAATAATTTCCGACTGAAATGAGCAGCTTGGATAGGAGATTTGATTTATTACAAAATTTGGAAAAAAATATCTCATGTTCAACATGACAGATCATGTCATGCGAACATTCATAAATATAAGAAATATTGAATCCCTCAATCGACAGATGGCCTTAGAGAGAAGAAGCAGGCAATTTTCTTGGTAGAATCAGGTTTTTCCTACAAACATGAGAAGCTTCTTCAATCCACTTCCTGTTATGTTGAAAGGAATTTCTTTGATTAGAAATAATTTCAGGTTTCAAATGTTCTCCCATATTCACAGGATTCACCAGGACTAGCTGGAAGTTCCCAGACCAGGTGACCTAGTCCCAGGGGACCGGCGAATTTTTTTCTATAGAAAAAACTTGGCCCCGAGGGGACCGGCGATTTTTTTTCTATAGAAAAAACTTGGTCCCAGGGGACCGGCGAAATTTTTTCTATAGAAAAAACTTGGTCCCAGGGGACCGGCGAAATTTTTTCTATAGAAAAAACTTGGTCCCAGGGGACCGGCGAAATTTTTTCTATAGAAAAAACTTGGTCCCAGGGGACCGGCGAAATTTTTTCTATAGAAAAAACTTGGTCCCAGGGGACCGGCGAAATTTTTTCTATAGAAAAAACTTGGTCCCAGGGGACCGGCGAAATTTTTTCTATAGAAAAAACTTGGTCCCCGGGGGACCGGCGAATTTTTTTCTATAGAAAAAACTTGGTCCCCGGGGGACCGGCGAATTTTTTTCTATAGAAAAAACATGGTCCCACGTGACCGGCGAAATTTTTTCTATAGAAAAAAACATGGTCCCAGGGGACCGGCGAATTTTTTTCTATAGGAAAAAACATGGTCCCAGGGGACCGGCGAATTTTTTTCTATAGGAAAAAACATGGTCCCAGGGGACCGGCGAATTTTTTTCTTTAGAAAAAAAAGGTCCCAGGGGACCGGCGAATTTTTTTCATTAGAAAAAAACAAGGTCCCAGGGGACCGGCGAATTTTTTTCATTAGAAAAAAACAAGGTCCCAGGGGACCGGCGAATTTTTTTCTATAGAAAAAAAACAAGGTCCCAGGGGACCGGCGAATTTTTTTTCTTTAGAAAAAAAACAAGGTCCCAGGGGACCGTAGAATTTTTTCTATAGAAAAAAATGGTCCCAGGGGACCGTAGAATTTTTTCTATAGAAAAAAATGGTCCCAGGGGACCGTAGAATTTTTTCTATAGAAAAAAATGGTCCCAGGGGACCGTAGAATTTTTTCTATAGAAAAAAATGGTCCCAGGGGACCGTAGAATTTTTTCCATAGAAAAAATATGGTCCTGGGGGACCACATAATTTTTAATTTTTAAATTTTTCTTTTCTTTTAGCTCCTCCTAGACCCCACGTGTCTAAGAACCTGCTGCCATTGTCCCCAGGCAAAACAGAACAGCAAGGAATTCTAAGATCCGTAATTAACTCTCTAATGGAATAGAGAAAAGTAATTATGGTCGGCAGACCATAATGATGACGATCGGTGTAGAATTGATCAAGAGAACCTGAAACCTGCCAATAAATACAACAATAGCAAATACAATGGAACAAGAAATTATGCTCACTCATCATGCAAGCGGTTTTGGCCACAACCCAGCTAACAAAGAACAAACTTATGGCAGTTGACGAACAAGCTCATTTGTAATTTTAAACGCTACGGCAACGGACGGTATAACGCGTGCGTAACTTTGAGAATTCCGGGCACACACAACAAACATTTAAATATTGAAGAATATTTGTTGTTGTAATTATTACTACAAATATTGGAGTCGGTGCTCCGTCATCGCTGGGATTAGCATGCATGGGATAGTGATTAGCTGTTGGGCAGCTTTCCTGCTGCCTCTCGCCCTTGCGGATAAACAGTTCCTGTCACAAATGTTCAATATTGGACTGGGAAATATATTCAAACAGAATCTTTACAATGATGGTAGGTTGGAATAAGAAAACAAAACGGGGGAAAAATAGTGGAAAGAGGAAAAATGGAATAAAATTTAAAAAATAAATGTGAAGGTCTTGCAGGTTCCTGCGGACCATACTTTTTCTCTAGAAAAAATTCAGAGGTCCCTGGGACCATGTTTTTTCTCTAGAAAAAAATCGGAGGTCCCCTGGGACCATGTTTTTTTTATAGAACAAATTCTACGGTCCCCTGGGACCATGTTTTTTCTATAGAAAAAATTCTACGGTTCCCTGGGCCGATGTTTTTTCTATAGAAAAAATTCTACGGTCCCCTGGGACCATGTTTTTTCTATAGAAAAAATTCTACGATCCCCTGGGCCGATGTTTTTTCTATAGAAAAAATTCTACGCTGCCCTGGGACCATGTTTTTTCTATAGAAAAAATTCTACGGTTCCCTGGGCCGATGTTTTTTCTATAGAAAAAATTCTACGGTTCCCTGGGCCGATGTTTTTTCTATAGAAAAAATTCTACGGTCCCCGGGGACCATGTTTTTTCTATAGAAAAAATTCTACGGTCCCCGGGGACCATGTTTTTTCTATAGAAAAAATTCTACGGTCCCCTGGGACCATGTTTTTTCTATAGAAAAAATTCTACGGTCCCCTGGGACCATGTTTTTTTCTATAGAAAAAATTCTACGGTCCCCTGGGACCATGTTTTTTCTATAGAAAAAATTCTACGATCCCCTGGGCCGATGTTTTTTCTATAGAAAAAATTCTACGCTGCCCTGGGACCATGTTTTTTCTATAGAAAAAATTCTACGGTTCCCTGGGCCGATGTTTTTTCTATAGAAAAAATTCTACGGTCCCCGGGGACCATGTTTTTTCTATAGAAAAAATTCTACGGTCCCCGGGGACCATGTTTTTTCTATAGAAAAAATTCTACGGTCCCCGGGGACCATGTTTTTTCTATAGAAAAAATTCTACGGTCCCCTGGGACCATGTTTTTTCTATAGAAAAAATTCTACGGTCCCCTGGGACCATGTTTTTTTTATAGAAAAAATTCTACGGTCCCCTGGGACCATGTTTTTTCTATAGAAAAAATTCTACGATCCCCTGGGCCGATGTTTTTTCTATAGAAAAAATTCTACGGTCCCCTGGGCCGATGTTTTTTCTATAGAAAAAATTCTACGGTCCCCTGGGCCGATGTTTTTTCTATAGAAAAAATTCTACGGTCCCCTGGGCCGATGTTTTTTCTATAGAAAAAATTCTACGGTCCCCTGGGCCGATGTTTTTTCTACAGAAAAAATTCTACGGTCCCCTGGGCCGATGTTTTTTCTACAGAAAAAATTCTACGGTCCCCCTGGGACCATGTTTTTTCTATAGAAAAAATTCTACGGTCCCCGGGAACATGTTTTTTTCTATAGAAAAAATTCTACGGTCCCCTGGGACCATGTTTTTTCTATAGAAAAAATTCTACGGTCCCCTGGGACCATGTTTTTTCTATAGAAAAAATTCTACGGTCCCCTGGGACCATGTTTTTTCTATAGAAAAAATTCTACGGTCCCCTGGGACCATGTTTTTTTCTATAGAAAAAATTCTACGGTCCCCTGGGACCATGTTTTTTCTATAGAAAAAATTCTACGGTCCCCTGGGACCATGTTTTTTCTATAGAAAAAATTCTACGGTCCCCTGGGACCATGTTTTTTCTATAGAAAAAATTCTACGGTCCCCTGGGACCATGTTTTTTCTATAGAAAAAATTCTACGGTCCCCTGGGACCATGTTTTTTCTATAGAAAAAATTCTACGGTCCCCTGGGACCATGTTTTTTTCTATAGAAAAAATTCTACGGTCCCCTGGGACCATGTTTTTTCTATAGAAAAATTCTACGGTCCCCTGGGACCATGTTTTTCTATAGAAAAAATTCTACGGTCCCCTGGGACCATGTTTTTTCTATAGAAAAAATTCTACGGTCCCCTGGGACCATGGTTTTTTCTATAGAAAAAATTCTACGGTCCCCTGGGACCATGGTTTTTCTATAGAAAAAATTCTACGGTCCCCTGGGACCATGGTTTTTCTATAGAAAAAATTCTACGGTCCCCTGGGACCATGGTTTTTCTATAGAAAAAATTCTACGGTCCCCTGGGACCATGGTTTTTCTATAGAAAAAATTCTACGGTCCCCTGGGACCATGGTTTTTCTATAGAAACAATTCTACCGTCCCCTGGGACCATGTTTTTTCTTTAGAAACAATTCTACGGTCCCCTGGGACCATGTTTTTTCTATAGAAAAAATTCTACGGTCCCTTGGGACCATGTTTTTTTTATAGAAAAAATTCTACGGTCCCCTGGGACCATGTTTTTTCTATAGAAAAAATTCTACGGTCCCCTGGGACCATGTTTTTTCTATAGAAAAAATTCTACGGTTCCCTGGGCCGATGTTTTTTCTATAGAAAAAATTCTACGGTCCCCGGGGACCATGTTTTTTCTATAGAAAAAATTCTACGGTCCCCGGGGACCATGTTTTTTCTATAGAAAAAATTCTACGGTCCCCGGGGACCATGTTTTTTCTATAGAAAAAATTCTACGGTCCCCTGGGACCATGTTTTTTCTATAGAAAAAATTCTACGGTCCCCTGGGACCATGTTTTTTTTATAGAAAAAATTCTACGGTCCCCTGGGACCATGTTTTTTCTATAGAAAAAATTCTACGATCCCCTGGGCCGATGTTTTTTCTATAGAAAAAATTCTACGGTCCCCTGGGCCGATGTTTTTTCTATAGAAAAAATTCTACGGTCCCCTGGGCCGATGTTTTTTCTATAGAAAAAATTCTACGGTCCCCTGGGCCGATGTTTTTTCTACAGAAAAAATTCTACGGTCCCCTGGGCCGATGTTTTTTCTACAGAAAAAATTCTACGGTCCCCTGGGACCATGTTTTTTCTATAGAAAAAATTCTACGGTCCCCCGGGAACATGTTTTTTCTATAGAAAAAATTCTACGGTCCCCTGGGACCATGTTTTTTCTATAGAAAAAATTCTACGGTCCCCTGGGACCATGTTTTTTCTATAGAAAAAATTCTACGGTCCCCTGGGACCATGTTTTTTCTATAGAAAAAATTCTACGGTCCCCTGGGACCATGTTTTTTCTATAGAAAAAATTCTACGGTCCCCTGGGACCATGTTTTTTCTATAGAAAAAATTCTACGGTCCCCTGGGACCATGTTTTTTCTATAGAAAAAATTCTACGGTCCCCTGGGACCATGTTTTTTCTATAGAAAAAATTCTACGGTCCCCTGGGACCATGTTTTTTCTATAGAAAAAATTCTACGGTCCCCTGGGACCATGTTTTTTCTATAGAAAAAATTCTACGGTCCCCTGGGACCATGTTTTTTCTATAGAAAAATTCTACGGTCCCCTGGGACCATGTTTTTTCTATAGAAAAAATTCTACGGTCCCCTGGGACCATGTTTTTTTCTATAGAAAAAATTCTACGGTCCCCTGGGACCATGTTTTTTCTATAGAAAAAATTCTACGGTCCCCTGGGACCATGTTTTTTCTATAGAAAAATTCTACGGTCCCCTGGGACCATGGTTTTTCTATAGAAAAAATTCTACGGTCCCCTGGGACCATGGTTTTTCTATAGAAAAAATTCTACGGTCCCCTGGGACCATGGTTTTTCTATAGAAAAAATTCTACGGTCCCCTGGGACCATGGTTTTTCTATAGAAAAAATTCTACGGTCCCCTGGGACCATGGTTTTTCTATAGAAAAAATTCTACGGTCCCCTGGGACCATGGTTTTTCTATAGAAACAATTCTACCGTCCCCTGGGACCATGTTTTTTCTTTAGAAACAATTCTACGGTCCCCTGGGACCATGTTTTTTCTATAGAAAAAATTCTACGGTCCCTTGGGACCATGTTTTTTTTATAGAAAAAATTCTACGGTCCCCTGGGACCATGTTTTTTCTATAGAAAAAATTCTACGGTCCCCTGGGACCATGTTTTTTCTATAGAAAAAATTCTACGGTGCCCTGGGACCATGTTTTTTCTATAGAAAAAATTTCACCGGTCCCCTGGGACCAAGTTTTTTCTATAGAAAAAATTTCACCGGTCCCCTGGGACCAAGTTTTTTCTATAGAAAAAATTTCACCGGTCCCCTGGGACCAAGTTTTTTCTATAGAAAAAATTTCACCGGTCCCCTGGGACCAAGTTTTTTCTATAGAAAAAATTTCGCCGGTGACCTGGGACCAAGTTTTTTCTATAGAAAAAATTCTACGGTCCCCCGGGGACCATGTTTTTTCTATAGAAAAAATTCTACGGTCCCCCGGGGACCATGTTTTTTCTATAGAAAAAATTCTACGGTCCCCCGGTGACCATGTTTTTTCTATAGAAAAAATTCTACGGTCCCCTGGGACCAAGTTTTTTCTATAGAAAAAATTCTACGATACCCTGGGACCATGTTTTTTCTATAGAAAAAATTTCGCCGGTACCCTGGGACCATGTTTTTTCTATAGAAAAAAATTCGCCGGTCCCCTGGGACCATGTTTTTTCTATAGAAAAAAATTCGGCGGTCCCCTGGGACCATGTTTTTTCTATAGAAAAAAATTCGGCGGTCCCCTGGGACCATGTTTTTTCTATAGAAAAAAATTCGGCGGTCCCCTGGGACCATGTTTTTTCTATAGAAAAAAATTCGGCGGTCCCCTGGGACCATGTTTTTTCCATAGAAAAAAATTCGGCGGTCCCCTGGGACCATGTTTTTTCTATAGAAAAAAATTCGGCGGTCCCCTGGGACCATGTTTTTTCTATAGAAAAAATTTCGCCGGTCCCCCTGGGAACATGTTTTTTCTAAAGAAAAAATTTCGCCGGTCCCCCTGGGACCATGTTTTTTCTATAGAAAAAATTTCGCCTGCCGCCCTGGGACCATGTTTTTTCTATAGAAAAAATTTCGCCGGCCGCCCTTGGACCATGTTTTTTCTATAGAAAAAATTCTACGGTGCCCTGGGACCATGTTTTTTTCTATAGAAAAAATTCGGAGGTCCCCTGGGACCATGTTTTTTTCTATAGAAAAAATTCTGTGCCAAATCTATTTTTTTTGTTTTTTTGAGAAAAAAAGACTTGGCCTTGAAAATCTAGCTCTTTTGGATCTCTTCCATGGCTTTTGCCATGGTCTAAATTTCAAGCTGGCCATTGGTCCGCTTTAATACACTACTGTCATTAATTTACTCCCTCCCATGAATACTAATTCAGACATTAATTTTTTTCATTGTTTCTCTTCTTCTTTGTCTCCCTACCGCTTCCATTGTGTCTCTGTGGTAGCACCCCAACAAAATGCCGAATATGACTTCATTGTGGTTGGCTCTGGGCCAGCTGGCTGTGTGCTGGCCAATCGTTTATCCGAGAATCCCCAGTGGCAGGTGTATCTTATCGAGGCTGGAGGGGTGGAGAGTATACCCCATCAGATTCCGATTATGGCGGCATATTTGCAAGGGACCCACTCCAATTGGGGCTATAAGTCAGTGCCTCAGCGTGCCGCCTGTTTGGGCATGAATAACCAAGAGTGTGCCCTGCCAAGAGGTAAAATATTGGGTGGTACCAGTTCCATAAATTTCATGATCTACAATCGTGGAAATCGTCGAGATTTCGATCGATGGGCGGAGTTTGGCAATGAAGGCTGGTCCTACGATGAGGTCTTGCCTTACTTTTTGAAATCGGAAAATTCCCAGGTTAAGGGTCTGGCAATGTCCCCCTATCACAATCATTCGGGACCCTTAAATGTGGAGGATGTACGCTATCGTACAGAGGCGGCCAAGGCCTATGTTAAGGCTGCCCAGGAGGCAGGTCACAATAAAACCGATTACAATGGAGAATCCCAAATGGGTGTGTCTTTTGTCCAGGCCAACACTTTGAAGGGGCGAAGGCACAGTGCCTATCGAGCCTATATTGAGCCCATACGATATACCAGGAAAAATCTGCACATTGTTACCATGGCCAGGGTGACGAAGGTCCTGATCGATAAACAGACCAAACAGGCCTATGGGGTGAGATTGCTCTATCGCAATACCCTGTATACGATTAAGGCCAGGAAGGAGGTAATACTCTCGGCAGGGGCCTTCAATTCACCGCAACTGCTCATGTTATCCGGCATTGGGCCAGAGGATAATCTCAAAGGCATTGGAGTACCTATTATCAAGGAGCTGCCGGTGGGTAAGCTGCTCTATGACCACATGTGCCATTTTGGTCCCACCTTTACCACCAATTCGACGGGCAAGACCTTTTTTGTGTCCCACACCACCCCGGGGCTGTTTGCCTCCTTCTTTGCCGGGGATGCCTCAACAGTACTCTCATCAATTGGGGGTGTGGAAGCTTTAACTTTTGTTAAGACCCCACATTCCAAGGAACCCCACGATATGCCCGATGTGAAATTTATTACCGTGGCTGGTAGCCTGGCCTCGGATGAGGGCACGGGCCTACTGCAAGGAGCCAATTTCCGCCCCGAAATTTACACCAAGGTCTATAAGCCCCTTAATGATGCCCAAACGGATCATTTCAGTTTTCTGGTAATGCAGTTCCATCCAAAGTCGGTGGGACGGCTATGGCTACACAATCGCAATCCCCTGGAGTGGCCTAGGATCAATCCGAAATTTTTCCACAATTCCGATGATGTGGAAGATATTCTAGAGGGCATAAAAGAGGTCATACGCATTAGCCAAATGCCAGCCATGCAGAAATTGGGTGTCCGCCTGCATGACATACCAGTGCCGGGCTGTGAGGGCCATAACTTTGGCAGCGATGATTATTGGCGTTGTTCCATTCGAGTCATGTCGTATACATTGCATCATCAGGTGGCCACTTGTCGAATGGGGCCAGAGGCGGACAATAGCACTGTGGTCAATGCCAGGCTACAAGTCCACGGCATTGGAAGGCTACGGGTGGCTGATACCAGTATTATACCCTTTCCACCCACCTGCCATACAAATGCCGCCTCATTTATGATTGGTGAGAAGGCGGCGGATATGATACGAGCTGAGTGGTCATAATGGAGCAGGGGGTGGAGGAAAGGTAGTTTTAGGAAATAAAATCAAGCGAAATATAAGACTAGAGATTATAGGTGTTTAAGTTTAGGAATATAAGTTAAGATAAGTACAAATTAAATAAAAATTAATAAAATTAAAAAAAAAAATTAAAAAAATATTTAAAAAATTTTGTTACACAAATAATAAAAAAAATTGGGTACTGGGGGGTACCCCGGAATATTTTCTATATAAAAAATTGGGTACTGGGGTACTCCGGAATTTTTTCTATAGAAAAAATATGGTTCTGGAGAACCGTTGAATTTTTTCTATAGAAAAAATTAGAGTACTGGGGGGTACCACCGAAATTTTTTCTATAGAAAAAATATGGTCCTGGAGAACCGTTGAATTTTTCTATAGAAAAAATATGGTCCTGGGGGACCACTGGAATTTTTTCTATAGAAAAAATATGGTCCTGGGGGACCACTGGAATTTTTTCTATAGAAAAAATATGGTCCTGGGGGACCGTTGAATTTTTTCTATAGAAAAAATATGGTCCTGGGGGACCGTTGAATTTTTTCTATAGAAAAAATATGGTCCTGGGGGACCGTTGAATTTTTTCTATAGAAAATACATGGTCCTGGGGGACCACTGGATTTTTTTCTATAGAAAAAATATGGTCCTGCGGGACCACTGGATTTTTTTCTATAGAAAAAATATGGTCCTGCGGGACCACTGGAATTTTTTCTATAGAAAAAACATGGTCCCAGGTGACCGGCGAAATTTTTTCTATAGAAAAAACATGGTCCTGGAGGACCGTTGAATTTTTTCTATAGAAAAAATATGGTCCGGAGGACCGTTGAATTTTTTCTATAGAAAAAATATGGTCCGGAGGACCGTTGAATTTTTTCTATAGAAAAAATATGGTCCTGGAGGACCGTTGAATTTTTTCTATAGAAAAAATATGGTCCTGGAGGACCGTTGAATTTTTTCTATAGAAAAAATATGGTCCTGGAGGACCGTTGAATTTTTTCTATAGAAAATATATGGTCCTGGAGGACCGTTGAATTTTTCTATAGAAAAAATATGGTCCTGGGGGACCACTGGAATTTTTTCTATAGAAAAAATATGGTCCTGGGGGACCACTGGAATTTTTTCTATAGAAAAAATATGGTCCTGGGGGACCACTGGAATTTTTTCTATAGAAAAAATATGGTCCTGGGGGACCGTTGAATTTTTTCTATAGAAAAAATATGGTCCTGGGGGACCGTTGAATTTTTTCTATAGAAAAAATATGGTCCTGGGGGACCGTTGAATTTTTTCTATAGAAAATACATGGTCCTGGGGGACCACTGGATTTTTTTCTATAGAAAAAATATGGTCCTGCGGGACCACTGGATTTTTTTCTATAGAAAAAATATGGTCCTGCGGGACCACTGGAATTTTTTCTATAGAAAAAACATGGTCCCAGGTGACCGGCGAAATTTTTTCTATAGAAAAAACATGGTCCTGGAGGACCGTTGAATTTTTTCTATAGAAAAAATATGGTCCGGAGGACCGTTGAATTTTTTCTATAGAAAAAATATGGTCCTGGAGGACCGTTGAATTTTTTCTATAGAAAAAATATGGTCCTGGAGGACCGTTGAATTTTTTCTATAGAAAATATATGGTCCTGGAGGACCGTTGAATTTTTTCTATAGAAAATACATGGTCCCGGAGGACCGTTGAATTTTTTCTATAGAAAAAACATGGTCCCGGAGGACCGTTGAATTTTTTCTATAGAAAAAATATGGTCCTGGGGGACCGTTGAATTTTTTCTATAGAAAAAACATGGTCCCGGAGGACCGTTGAATTTTTTCTATAGAAAAAATATGGTCCTGGGGGACCGTTGAATTTTTTCTATAGAAAAAATATGGTCCTGGGTGACCGTTGAATTTTTTCTATAGAAAAAATATGGCCCTGGAGGGCCGTTGAATTTTTTTCTGTAGAAAAAATATGGCCCTGGAGGACCGTTGAATTTTTTCAATAGAAAAAATTGGGTACCCGGGGGTACTATTGAATTTTTTCCATAGAAAAAAAATTGGGTACCGGGATTTTCGGATTTTTTTGTGCCATCAAACTTTTGAATTGTTCAAAAATTTCATTCAGCCAAACAAAACTGACCTACATTAGCATTGTTTTCACGTTCACTTCACATTTTTTATAAACTATTGTTTGTTCCCCTTGCCGACGCCTCCTTCATTATTTCTCGTTGCTTTTTTTGTCTTTGGTTCGCATACTTGCCAATTAAGGGCAAATATTGACATAAAAGTAGCCACTGCAAAGGCGTTGTGAGCAAAAAAAAAAATGAATGCTGCTAAAGTTTTAAATATTTTTTTTTCACCGTTTAGCCAAGTTCATGAACCTCTTATTGCATCCATATATATTTTTTTACCGAAGATTTAATTAGACATGTAAATTTCAGATGCAGAAAAAAATGAATCATACAATTATTGTTTCTTGTGGGCACAGTGGGTTAAAAGAGCAATAAATGTGGATTTTTTTAATAAATAAATTAAAAAAAAAATAAAAAAATATAATTTGATAAAAATTATTAGTAAAGATTTTTTTAGTAAAAAAGATTTTTTTTAAAATATTTTTTTTAAATTGTTTTTTATAATTGTTTTAATTTTTAATTGTTTTTAATTGTGTTTTTAATTGTTTTTTTTTTTTTGAAAAAAAAAATGTAAAGAGTAAATTAAATTATTTTGTTAACAATATTTTTTAAAAATGTTTTTTCATATAGTTTTAATTTAAAAAAAAAAATTGTTAAAAATAAATGCTTTTAATAATTTTTTTGAAAAAAAAAATGTAAAGAATAAATTAAATTATTTTTTAAAAATATTTTTTTTAAAAATTTTTTTTTAAATATTAAAAAATCAATTAAATATTTTTTCTTAAATAATAATTGTGTAAGTCAAAAAAATATATTTTTTGTAAATTTTAAAAAATATATTTTTTTAAATTTTTTTTTTAATAAATTTTTTAAAAAATGTATTTTTTTGAAAAAAAAAATATAAGAATATTTTTTTTTCTCAAAAATTAAATATTTTTTTGTTCTTTAAGCCCAAAAAATATTTTAAATAATTTTCTTAAATACATTTTTTAAAAATTTATATTTTTTGAAAAAAAAAATACAATAAAGATTTTTTTTAAATTGAATTTTTTAAAAAATAAATTATTTTTTTAAAGAAAAAATAATATAATAAAAAATATTTGTTTTATTAAAAAAATATAATTTATATAAAATTAAATTAAATTAAAATATTTTTTAAATATTTGTTTAATTTTATTTAATAATTTTTTAAATATTAAAAAAAAATAATATTTTTTTCTTAAATTTGCTCTATTGCACAATGGGGATGTGACCAGATGAAATAATAATTGTGTGAGTCAAAAAAAACATATTTTTTATATTTTAAAAAATATATAAATGTTTTTATTTTTTTTTTTTTAATAAATCAATCATCCAACAAAAAACAAGGGAACTGATGAGGATTGGTGGCTCTTTCCGAAACCTAGGTATTCCCTGCCTTACCCCCTGGTAAACATTACCATCGTTCTCCACTAATAAACAAACGTTGTTTTTATAAAAACAACGATAAAGGGATAAAGCCTGACCATTTTGCAACAACAAAAAAAATATTTAATTGTTCTTTAAGCCCAAAAAATATTTTAAATAATTTTTTTTTTTAAATAATTAATTTTAAATTAATTTTTTAAAAAATATATTTTTGAAAAAAACAATAATTTATTTTTTTTAAATTGAATTTTTTAAAGTATAAATTATTTTTTTTTTAAGAAAAAATAATATGATAAAAAATATTTGTTTTATTAAAAAAAAAATTATATTTTATATAAAAATATTTTTTTTGAAAAAAAATTGTAAGAATAAGTTAAATTATTTTTTTAAAAATATTTTATAAATTTTTTTTTTAATATTTTTGAAATATTTAAAAAAAAATAATATTATTTTCTTGAATTTGCTCTATTGCACAATGGCCCAGACGAAATAATAATTATGTGAGTCAAGAAAAATTTATGTATTTTTATAAATTTTTTTTTTTTTTTGAATAATTTTTTTTTTTTTTTAATGAATTTCTTTCAAAAAAATATAGGAATAATTTTTTTTCTGAAAAATTAAATATTTTATTGATCTTTAAGCCCAAAAAATATTTTAAATAATTTTTCTTAACAAATAAATTATTTTAAATAAATTTTTTAAAAAATATATTTTTTGAAAAAGAAAAACAAAGATTTTTTTTGAAAAAATTAAATTTTTTAAAGAATAAATTATATTTTTCAAGAAAAAATAATATAATAAAAAATATTTGTTTTATTAAAAAAAAAAATATAATTTATATAAAATATTCCTTTGAAGAAAATTGTAAATTAAATTATTTTTTTAAAAAGGTTTTTTTAATGTTTTTTTTAATATTTTTTTAAATATTTAAAAAAAATAATATTATTTTATATTATTGTTCTTTAAGCTCAAAAAATATTTTAAATCATCGTTTTAAAAAATAATTTATTTTGAACAAATTTTTTAAAAAATACATTAAAAAAAAACAATAAAGATTTTTTTTTTTGGAAAAAATTGAATTTTTTAAAGCATAATTTTTTTTTTTTTTTTTTTTTTAAAGAAATAATAATATGTTTTATTAAAAAAATTTATAATATATATAAAAATATTTTAAAAAAAATTTAAAGAATAAATTAAATTATTTTTTTTAATATTTTTAAAAATGTTTTTTAAATATTTTTTTACATTTTTTTTAAATATTTTTTTTTTCTCAAATTTGCTCTATTGCACAATGGATTTGTGTGAGTCAAAAAAAAATTAAAAGTTTTAAAAAATATGTATTTTCAAAAAAAAAAAAAAAATTCTTTTTTTGAATAAATTTTTTTGAAAAAAAATATAAGAATATTTTTTTTTTAAATAAAATATTTTTTACTGCTCCTTACGCCCATTGTGCCCAGAATAAATAATAACAGAATGTCAAAAAATATTGTAAATAATTTTT